CCCTGCTTGCTGAAACTGAGGAGGACTTGAAGTGCTTGCTGCAGAAGGTCAAGGACTGCAGTCTTCAATATGGATTGAACCTCAACATCAAGAAAACAAAGATTCTCACCACTGGGCCAATTGGCAGCATCAGTAGGGATGGTGAAGAGATTGAGATAGTTAACAGTTTTAGTTTACTTGGTTCCACAGTCAACACTCTTCATAACAGCAGCCAGGAAATCAGGAGACAAATTGCTTTGGGAAAGTCAGCTATGAGGGACCTCTCAAGAGTACTGCAGTGCAACGACATCAGGCTGGAGACTAAGGTGCGCCTGATCCAGGCTATAGTCTTTGTAATTACGTGCTATGCATCAGAGAGTTGGACAGTGAATAGGGATGACAGAAAGATAATTGATGCCTTTGAACTGTGGTGCTTGAGAAGAGTGTTGAATATACCATGGACTGCTAGGAGAACAAATAGATTTGTCCTGGAGAGGACCAAGCCAGAATGCTCCCTGGAGTCAAGGATTCTGAAGCTTTTTCTGACATACTTTGGGCATGTTGCAAGGAAGGACTGGTCCTAGGAGAGGGACATCATCTTTGGGAAAGTGGAGGGATGGCGCAGGAGAGGAAGACCTTCAGTGAGATGGATCAGTTCTGTGAGTGGAGTGGTGGGAGTGAGTGTGTTTGAGACAGCGAGGTTGGCACAGGATAGAACAGCCTTTAGGGCTCTTGTACACAGGATCGCTATGAGTCACAAGTGACTTGATGGCACATAACAACAACAACAGTTTGAAATGTTCTTTGAATAGATCCTATGTGTTTCTAGTTAGATTTACTCCCAAGTATTTAATCTTTTGATTACCTATTGTGGTGGGTATTGTTTTCCTTTGCTCCAGTTTTGTATTCTCTTTGTCACTATAGAGAAATCCGATTGATTTTTGTATGTTGATTTTGTATCCTGCCACTTGGCTGAATTGGTCAACTATGTCCAGTAGTTTTCTTACTGAGTCTTTAGGGTTTTCTAAGTGTGCTGAGAAAATTCCCCTCAATTCCTATTTTGTTAATTAGGAAAGGGTGTTGGATTTTTGTCGAAGACCTTTTCTGCATCAATTGATAGGATCATGTGATTCTTATCCTTTGTTTTGTTAATGTGATCGATTCACTGATTGTTTTTCTTATGTTGAACCATACTTGCATACCTGTTAGGAATTCCACGTGATCATGGTAAATTATTTTTTTATATCTTGATGGATTGTATTAGCCAGGATTTTATTCAGGATTTTTTCATCTATGTTCATGAGAGATATTGGCCTGTAGTTTTCTATTTTGGAAGTGTCTTTACCTGGCTTTGGAATCAAGGATATGTTTGCTTCATTGAATGAGTCTGAAAGAATTCCAACTTTTTCTGTTTTCTCAAATACTTTATGTAGAATTGGTGACAATTTTTCTCTGAATATTTGATAAAATTCACTTGTAAAACCATCTGGTTCAGAGCTTTTTTTTTTTTTTGGTAGTTTTATTACCTTTTCAATTTCTTCTTTTGTAATGGATCCCTTCTGGTGTTTGATTTAGGTCAGTGTCAGTTTAGGTATTTAGATAGGATGTGAGTTTCTAAGTATTTGTCTGTTTCCTCTAAGTTTTCATATTTGAGTATAATTTTTCCCAATATTCCATTGTTAACCTTTTTATTTTAGTTGGTTCTGTTGTGACATTGCCTGTTACATCTCTTATTTAGATTGTATCCTTTTTTCCTTTCCTTTGTTAGTTTTGCAAGTGGTTAGTTTTGCTGATTTTATTGACCTTTCTGAAGAACGAGTTGATGGTTTCAATTGTTTTTCTCTCTTCTGTTTCATTTATTCCTGTCCTAACTTTTATAATTTCATTTTTTTTAGAGGGGGTTGGGTTTTCTTGCTGTTCTTTTACAATTTGTTTGAGATGTTGGGTTAGAGAGTCAATTATCACTTTTATTCTTGCCTTTTCATGTGTTTGCTTATCACTATAAATTAACATCTGATTACTGCTTTGGCTGTTTTCCAGAGGTTTTCATAAGTTGTGTTTTCATTGTCATTTTTTTCAAGAAACTATTTAATTTCTTCTGTTAACCACTCATGTTCAAGCAAGGTGTTGTTCAGTTTCTACATGTATGGTTTTTATCTCCTTTATCCTCTTGTTATTAATTTCTAATTTTGTAGCACTGTGGTCTAAGAAGATGCTTTGTATTATTTCTGTTTTGTAATTTATTTATGCTTGCTTTGTCACCTAAAATGTGTTCTATTCTGGAAACCATTCCATGCATATTGGAGAAGGTATACTGTGCTTTTTTGTTGTTATTGTTTATTAATATATCTATATCTATATATACATATACATATATATATATGTATATATTCAAGTGGATTTATTGTGTGGTTTTATTTTTCAATCTCTTTGTTGAGTTTCTTTTTGGTAGTTCTATCTTTCTTTTTTTTGGAAAAAAGTGTTAAAATTTATTAATAATAGTTAACATCACATAGTTAATTCAACTAGTTACTTATCGTACAGAATTACAACATCTCTACCACAGTGGGTGCTTGAAGGTTTGGGTCCTGCTACTCAGCACACCCAGGCAAAGATTGAGATTCACGGCATTTACATCAAGGAAAGCAGCAGCCAGGGGCTGTCCCCTAATTCTGAGGACACGGGCATTTACACTGAATTTTCAACAACACGTCTTTAACAGCCACGCACAACACCACACGCCTTCTTACTGTTTTCAAATATGTAACCTCATAGGTACCTAACATTCACGTTTCACTCTTATGTCCTGTCATGATTGAGTGATACACACAGACTAGAGGTGTCTTCTGGCTTTGGTGCAGGAAGAGGCAGCTACATTGGGTCAGCCAGAGCAAAGGAGGGGTGGCGGCGTGCCCCAGACAGGAAGGTGAGACCGTAGCACACTGTGGGTCAGCCAGAGCAGAGGAGGAATGGCGGGGTGCCCCAGACTGGAAGGTGAGACTGCAGCAAACGAGAGGCCACACACCACTGCTTTAACTCGAGAGCATCCGGGCCAGTGGAGCCCTGCATGCAGTATTCATACATCATACCCTACCACGTTCCCCAAACCAAATTGTCGGATCCTTTTCTCAGGATGAGTTTGGTGACAACACAAAGACTGGGTGCCACTGAGTCCTTAAGGTGTCCCACCTTTCTGTCTGATCCATTCTCATAGTCAATTGTGCTACGAGACCATCGCCTGGACTTCCCAAGCTCTGCAGCCTTGGTGGAGGCCGAGTGGATCTTACTTGCAGGAGTGGGCTTTTGGGTTCCGGTATAATGGGGGTCCTGACATAACACATGGTGGCTCTGCCGCTCCCAGTCCCGACACCAGGACTGTGTAAGAAAACCCGCACATAGATCAGCCAACAGAGGGCAGAGCCGCCGAAGGATGTCTCACAAACACCTTTCGTCCAACGTTCGCAAAGGCAGCCCGGAGTGAAATTTCTAGAAGAGCCAGAGTGTTGTGTTGTCCTTGAGGTTTTTGGTGGTTATTGTTGGAGTGTTTTATTACCAAGCAATTAGACAGAAAGCTATAAAATGTGGTGACGTCTCCTCAGAGAGTTGAAGATGCTACAGACGCCCCAAGGAGAAAGGTGTCCAAGGAGTGAGCCTCTGCACAGGATTCCCGTTTCCTTTGCTTAGATCACCTGGAGTATTGCCTGGAAGGCGGGAGACAGAGCAGGCTGGTGTTTCGGATCTTCAGGGATGCCCGGGGCTTGTCCCTCTACCCCCTCCTGCCCAGTGGAGTCCAGGAGAAAGAGGGTGCAGGGAACCTCTGCATAGCTCTTTTTTCACCTTGAAGAAGTCGCCCCCACTCCCACCCCCATTCCCTGCAGGCAAATGAGGTATTTCTCGTCACCAGTCAGCATCTTTGCCTTCAGTTCTGTTAGCATGCTGACTTCCTGCCGAGTTCAAGACCCCGCAGAGCTACACACAACAACATCAACATATAAATACATCGTGTACACAGACTGTCACATAGTGTCGAGGTGAAGGTGCAGAGCTAGTCTGTGAACTAAATCAATTGTAAACATAAATTAAAATGAAAATACAGTGTTTTCCACATTTTAAGGAACAAAAATCCAAAAACACAACAAACAACCATTAAAAACAAACAGAGAACCACCCCCCCCCATCTCCACACACGTCCACGGCTCACAGGTGACGCCGGACAGTCACTCCCAGAGCAGTGACTCAGCTTGGGTTTCTCCAGCCCAGGCTCAGAGCTGTCTCCAACTCCAGGAACCCACTGCTCCCCTCGCGTGGAGAGAGGCTGAGGAGAGAATTCCCGTCACCATCTGTGGGAGAATCAGGCTTAAGTCTGTCGGTCCTCCCCAGTCTCAGGCGGAAGAAACTGGTGTCAGTGTCTTTGACAGGGATGCTGTCCCTAGAAATGTCAGGGGCAGGCTCCAGGCTGAAGTAACCATCTCCTTGCATTGGCATCCCGTCCTACAAGATTTCATGTGGCTCTTAAGTGCCGTCCAGTGAGAGCCACCCCATAGTTGACCTTCCGGTGGGTTTTCAGAAGCTGTAAATTGTCCAGGAGGAGAAAGCCCCCTCCTTCTCCCATGGAGCAGATGGTGGCCGCAAACTGCCAGCTTTCGGGTTGGCAGCGTAACTTCTTCCCACAAAGCCGCCAGCACTCCTTGCACGGTTATTGCAGGGACGTGGAATTTGACCTTGGGGTTGAGATTGTAAAGACGTTTTGGGAGAGCCAGTGGGACTGGTCGTGATGGGCATGAAGAAATCTGACTTCAGACTTGTATCTTGAGGGGGTCAAGGACTGGACACCGAGTTCTACAGTGAGTGGTGTTGGAGGGTCCTTCGGGTCACTGCCAATCCTCAGCGACTCGATGCGTCTAAAGAGGCAGAGCCATGTCCAACAAAAGCCCAGGACATCTGGCACAAGGGGACGACACCTTATAATTTACGACAGGAGGACGGGGGGCTAGAGGGCATCCCTTCCGGTTATGGGGACTCTATCGCTGTCTGGCCTCGCGGATGCGGCAGGCCACAGCAGTGATGAGGGCTGCCCCCTTCCCACTGCCAACCTCAGACTGAAGTAAGGACACGTGGCATCTTGGGGCCAGCTCCTTCACTGTCTCGTGCATGACTTTGGCAAAGTGGGGGTGCAGCTTGTAGAGGGTTCCATCCACGCCCACGGTCACTTTGGGAGTGTCCAGGCCCCGGTTCTCGCGGATCTTGTCCACCACGGCCGCCATGCCTACGCCACAGAGCTGGGCCACCCGGCGGGCCACCACAGTGCCCACCTTCTTGATGATGATGCTGTCGTCGCAGGTGCTCTCGAGCCCCAGGTGCTGGAGGATCGCGTGCACCTGTAGCAGCGCCAGGCAGTCACTCTTGATCGGAGACAGGAACTTGATTTCCAAGATGCCCCTGGTCTTGAGGCGCTCTGAGATGCGGCCACTGAAGAGGAGGCCGCGCTTGGTGAAGTCGATGAGGATGTTATGGACGACCTCTCCGAGGTACATGCCGCTGATCATCTTCTCATACCTCTGCTTGTCGGGGTTGAGGGAGAGTGTGTACACAGCCACGTAGAACTCGGTGCGGAAGTCATTCAGGCACCCGCTGTCCCCGAAAGCACCCCACTCCATGTTGATGCACATGCGTCCTTCCTCCCCTGTTCTTTCTTAAGAGTGGTGTATTGAAGTCTCCAGCTACTATAGTGGTGTTGTCTATTCCTTTTTCACTTTTGTTAATGTTTGCTTTGTATATTTTGCAGCTCTACCATTTGGTGCATCAATATTTATTATTGTTATTTTCTCTTGTTCTGTTGACCCTTTAAACATTATGTAGTAACCTTCCTGTCCTTTGTGATGGTTTTTGCATGGAAATCTATTTTATAAGAGATTCCTGTCATTATTTCTGCTTTTATCTGGTTGCCATTTGCTTGGTATATTTTTTCCTACCCTTTTAGTTTTAATCTGTCTTCACTTTTCAGGTGTGTCTCTCGCAGAAAGCATATTGATGGGTTTTGGTTTTTTATGCAATTTGCTACTCTTTTTCTCTTCAGTGGTGCATTTAAATCATTCACATTTAGTGCTGTTATTAAGAGGCAAGATTTTATTGCTATTATTTTTTTAGTTCTACCCCCTCCCTGTTGTTGCTGTTTACTTTGGTCCATCCTGCTCTCTGTGGTACCTCTGGAAGGAGGATGTCTCTCAGAATTTAATTCAACACTGGTTTTGTTTTTACATACTCCCTTAAGGTCTGTTTTTTTGAGAATATCTTGGTCTCTCCTTCATAGTTGATGGATAGTTTTGCTGGGTATAGTATTCTTGGTTGACAGTTGTGTTCTTTAAGAGTTCGATATATGTCATTCTGCTGTCTCTTGTCACATGGTTTCTGCTGAGAAATCAGCACTTAATCTTATATTTGCTCCCCCTTATAGGTTACTCTTTGTTTCTCCCTAGTTGCTTTCAGAATTCTCCCTTATCTTTGGTTCTGGCAAATTTGACTATAATATGCCTTGGTGTTTTTCTTTTGATGTCTGTTCTATATGGTATTCTCTCAGCTTTTTGAGTATAAATTCTCTTATTCTTCATTATGCCTGGAATGTTTTCTTCTAATAATTTTTTCACTACTTTTTCAATGCTTTTACCTGTTTCTTTCTATTCTGGGATTCTGATTATGCACATGTTATTCCTCTTGATGTGTTCCACATTATTGTTAGAGTTTTTTCTTTTCCTACCTTTTTGATTCTGCTTTTTGTTCTAGCAGATTATGGTAACAATTATATCTTCTATTTCACTGGTTCTGTGTTCCATCTTTTAACTCTGTTCATATGTCCCTCCAACATGTTGGAAGTATCTGGAACATTGGTCCTCATATTTTAGATTGTGGCGTTTTGTTTTTCCAGAGCCTCTAATGCCTTGTTTGTTTTCTCTACATTGTTTTGGAATTTTTTTTAAAAGTTCCTCTTAGTTTTTGTTTGCAGAGTTCTGTACTTCTTCAAATTTGTCTTTCACCCACTGAAAATATTCAGTCATTGTTCTTTTGAATTCTTGTCAGAAAGTTCCATCAGATCCATTGATACCATGTACTTTTTGGGGGTGACATCTTGTTTTAGGTTTGTGTAGGGTATGAGATAGCCTGCTTCATACATGACATTGCTGTGGTAGAGTTTTTCATACCTGGTGTGATAGTAGGTTCTTGGTCTGACATTGCTGCTCCAGAGGAGGGTGGGGCAGCTACCCTTCCTGAGTTTCTCTCTGAACATTTATTCAAGGGAAGACTTGCCTCAGTTTGGGAGAGATAAAGCCTGTGAATTAGCAGCCTCCCCTGTCAGACAACTGTTATAGCTAGGCCAGTTCCAGGTGCTCTTGGCGAAAGACAGCACAAGCTTTGTGAGGAGAGAGGAAATTAAATTAGTTCACCTGTGGTAGTAATGTCTCTGGCACAGTTCAGAGGGGCAGCAGCAGGTCATCCTCCAGGCATTGGGGCTGGGACTCCCAGGCTTTGGGGCCAGATCTTACAGAGGGTGGATTCAAGTCCTCCAAGCAGCGGGAGCAGGACTTCTAGGAGGTGGGGGCAGAACTTTCAGGCATCTGGCAGAGCCAGCTGGAGGGGGGGTCCCCACCAGGCAGTGGTGCTGTGGTTTAGTGCTCTAGGCAAGAGACCAGTTCCAGAAACACTAAGAAATTTAAAGGCAGACACCTAGTTAATTGACTTGATATGCAGCATGGAAGCAACACGTGTAGAAATGGAGCACATAGAAGTGATATGCATAGAAGCGATGCACACAGAGGCGACACATGAAGATGCAATGCATGTCAAGAATCTATTCTTAATGGGACCAGATCAATAAATTCAGACTAATCCAATTTTATATTCCTTGCACCATTATCCCACCCACTTCACAATTAGTTCCATATATACGCTCGAGATTTTTTGTTTGTGTATATTAGAAAACTCAAGCAGGTTATTTTGGCATGTATTTTATCTCCTATCTTCCTTCATCATAATTTGTACTTTAGCTTTTAGGATTTGCTGGAATTTAACTCTAGTATAGATCTAGAAGCAAAAAGAAATCGTAAGGATTGTTCTTGGGAACTTTCAAAATATCTTTCAAGACATCTGCCTCTGGCAATGCCCCAGGTCCTGATGTGGAGGAACTCAACTAAGTGTCATTGGAATCAACTCATAGTTAACTCTTCAGTGTATTTTATAGGAGAAGACTGCCTATCTTTCTCCCTCTGAGCAGCTAGTGAATTAGACCCATCTGCCTTTGAGTTAGCAGTTGTTGTTGTTTTTGTTATGTGCATCGAGTTGCTTGCAACTCATATCAACCCTATGTACAACAGCCCTAAACTCTGCTCTGTCCTGTGCCAGTCGCACTATCTCTGATACACCTATCCCGATTACCCCAGTCACTGAATCAATCCACCTCATAGAGGGCCTTCCTGTCTTGCGCTGTCCATCCACCCTACCAAGCATGGTGTCCCTCTCCAAGGACTGGTCCCTCCTTACAACATGTCCAAAGTATGTTAGACGAAGCCTCAGAAGTTAGCTAACTAAAAAATTAAGTAACTTTTAATTACCCCTAGACTACCAGAGCTTCCTGACATAAAAGAAATTATAACAAAAACTCATTAAGTAAAGTTACATTAGTCAATCCAGTCAATATTTTAACTTTTGAGGTTATCATTTTAATTGGTGTAATTCAGACAACTACTTGGCAGTTTTTAGTCTTGGAAACCCAATGAGAGTCAGCTGTGAGGCAGCTCACAACTCAATGATAATGAGTTGAGAATCTTAAAATAAGATTTTCTGTTTAATTTTCAGCAATATCAGCTCTGTACACACAAGATATAAAATTTCTTCTTAAAGCACAATTGAAAACTGTGAGGTATTTTATCTGATGCCTGGCTCTTAAGCCCTGAGACTAACTCTTTCTTCAACATGATGTCTAGAATGAGTGGAACTAACCAACCAGTATCCTTAAATGTCTCAGTCTGACAGAATTGTAGAAACTGCCCAAAACATGATCATCCAGAACCTCACTAGTGCTTCTTTCTAGTACATGATCTATCAGTAGTGGTATTTTTATATATTAATATTGTCACAGGGAAGAGAAGCATTTGTCATAAGGCCTTCTATTTAAAACCCCATCAGGGTAGTGGCAAGGTGCTAGAGACCAGTTTGAAAATCATCTGCTGGAGCTGGTTCTACAGAAGCTGTTGGCTGGAATGGGTGAACTGTAGGGTGAAATGTTGATTCACCAAGGGAAGTGAGGCATTTGTGATAAGACCTTCTATTTAAAAATCCATTAGGGCCAGAGGACCGAGGGCCCATTTTATATTGGTTTTTGTCAAACATTCTTCTACGTGGTATAGCACTTGTCTGTGCATTGCTGTACAGGATAACTCGTGGTTGCTGTGATGCTAAACACTAACACTGATGTGCCAAATGCAATAATGGTTACCTGTGGTGGACAGTGTTTGGTGGTTTGTTGTTGTTATGTGCCGTAGAGTCGCTTGCGACTCATAGTGACCCTATGTACAACAGCCCTAAACTCCACTCTGTCCTGTGCCAATCGCACTGCCTCTGACACTCCCATCCCAATTACCCCAGTCACTGAATCAATCTGCCTCAAAGAGGGCCTTCCTCTCCTGCGCTGTCCCTCCACCCTCCCAAGCATGATGTCCGTCTCCAAGGACTGGTCTCTCCTCACAACATGTCCAAAGTATGTTAGACGGAGCCTCAGAATCCTTGCCTCCAAGGAGCCACCCGGTTTAACCCTTTCC